TTACAACACATTTTTGTCTATAATATTATTACGTGTCTCCATCTTAAAATAATAGCTTCTGTTACTATTTTTAATCAGTTTATCATGAATACTCCTCTAGTGGTTAATGAAATACTTTTTTTTCAGACTCCAGTAGTAATTTATTTCGACATTGAAGACAAATGCTGTTTTCCAGTAATTGGGTTTATATCAGCTTGATAGTTTGTATAAAACTATATATTTATATTTTGACTTTAATAGTTGAAAATATCACGCCTAACTTAACACACTTGTTACAGCTTTATTTGGTAACACAACCATTCCAACCCATAACCCCCAACCACCCCGCCTTTAGGGTACGCTGGGGCATTTCAGCCTATGTCGCTTTCGTACAGCTCGGTGTTTCTGGACGCGCGCACGTCTAAAGGCCTTTGGACAGTTTTTCCCAATAATTAGAATATTATCATACAGTAGTTGCTTATTGCTAGGTCTTCCACCGTTTAGCACGTCCTTTTTTTAATTTTTATAGCTTAACGTCAACTACATGAAATTACTCGTCAAAGTGGTTAATATTTTTTGTTGCTGATGTTGTTTTTATGTAGATTTTATATATAAGTATAATGGAGTACTAAGTTGAAACTTCCGAAGGTTTAATTTCTCAATCCATGCTTACATTGCGTAATATCGTTTGAAATCTCAAACACCTATTTTTCCCAGAATGGGAGTATTTTAATTGTAAACACAGAAACTTCTCATAATTTTTCGCGTTTTCAATATTTGTTTTCGTAAACCAAAGAGCTATTTTAACAATCCTCACAAAATTGTAAAACCATCCTCGTAAATTTACGAAAAATCAGAATCATCATGTGTTCACCTTCATTGAAAAGGACTCGTCATGCATTCATTGTTTCATGACCGAGGGAGTGAGGGTGGTTAAAATGACGAACGCATCTCTTTCGGAGTGCGTTACATATACATAAACGGTGATGATCATGTCTGTAGATCTGAGGTCTACAAAAAACGAGAATTCTGGTTTATTCTATCTGTTTTTTTTTGTTGTTTTTTTAACCGAATGATCTGGTCTGTAGAGCTGAGGGATTTTGTTGAGCTATCTCAATCATCTGTTTTTGATTTTTTTTTATGGCCAGGTTACGAACATGTAATTTATTTATATTTCCATAAGTACTGCTATAAGTTGTCATAATGTAGGGCTTTATTCTCAAATGTTTGGACGATTTTAGCACTAACGTTTGTAGAAAGCAGTTAACTCATAGGAATTTTGGAAAGTGGTTGTTAACCCACAGGAGATTTGGGAAATGGATAACCTTTAGGAATTTTGAAAAGTGGTTAACTCACAGGAGATTGGTAAAGTGGTTAACCTACGGCAGATTGGGAAAAGTGGTTAACCCATAGGAATTCAAAAAAGTGGTTCTTAACCTACAAGAGATTGGGAATATGGTAAACCCACAGGAGATTGGGAAAGTGGTTGTTAACCCACAGGAGATTAGGAAAATGGTTACCCATAGGAGATTGGGAATATGGTTAACCCACAGGAGATTAGGAAAATGGTTACCCATAGGAGATTGGGAAAGTGGTTGTTAACCCACAGGAGATTGGGAAAGTGGTTAACCAATAAGAAGATCAATTTCTTTCCTTAAACCCTTCTAAAATATAAAGTTAGTGGTAATGAATTAATTACTATGAAAATAAAAAAGTTTATTTTTATAACTTCTAGTGGTAAAATTCAACTTAATTTTACGACTCAATAACATCTATAAGTTTCATTATAAGTAAGATGATATAGAAAAAGTCATTTCTGTAAACGATCACTATGTTTTTATTTTTTTACTCAGTTAACTCACCGTGGAAACAATCTTTGAAATTATACAGACGAGAAATTTGTCCATATATTTAACATAATATACTGTAAACCCCATGTTAGCTATACAAAACCTTTGCTTATCCTTAACATATATTTCGAGAAGTAACAATGATAAGAACTTGTTTACACTAATTCCGTGGTAGAAAAATAATAGTAATAAATATTTATATCTCTCAGTATAGTTATAAATACTGGTACTTTAATGTTCATGAAAAGTGAATGTTCCAGTGACCAGTAGCTCTTTATCTTGAGTTTAGGAAACACTAGAACGTCTGTACAAATACAGATAACTGAAAATTTCTCGAATAAAGCATGTCAAGCCATTATAGATGTCACTTCTTTATAATCGGAGAAGCACAAAACATGTCAATAGATTTCAAATAGTAAAGGAAGTAGACGCACAAAATGTACTATTAGAAATCCAGTACATTTTGTGCGTCTACTTCATATAATATTTGAAATCCGCCAAAGCTTAAACCTAGAATGAGACGTTAGCTTGACATATATAATTTATTTAATTGCTAAAATGATTTCCCTCAATCAAAATTACTTAATTGTCCTTTTGTTGCTTGTCCATCGAAGTAAAGTATTTTTATCATCTTCTCTTCAAAGACCGCTGAAATAATAATAGAAAATGAAAATAAGGAAATGAAAGCCACAAAGTAATTAACAAGCTTGGCTATACCAAAGAAACAGTCATACACTGGAGTAATAAAGGTACGTGTTTTGTAACAAGAAAAATACAAAGAATGGGACATTTTCATTCTCATTAATTACCAAAATAATTATAGGTGTTGCGTCGCAGTTATTGCCTTAAATCTAAAGTCAATCTAAAACACTTTACTTGGTGTAAATGTAAAATGTCAGTGACCGAGAGTCCATTTGGATCATATTAACAACAGTCCGGAAAGTGATACATTTAACAAAGTCAGTTCTATTACAGACATAAAAATTAGCTTACTCTTAATATTTCAACCAACAGAGATGGTTTAACAATATATATATTCCAAGTAAACTGTATTTTTCATATACACTAAAGAGCTGATAATTCTGACTCTTTTTGATTATTACTGACTAAAGATTACTTTAAACCATGAATATATGATTTGGACATATCTTTGTGGCATATATATTTATGACGAATTTATTGCAGAAATTGAGAGGTTCATTACATAACTCTTCTCTTTCATTACCATGTTTAACTATTCCTCCTACCTGACGTTTAAGAAAGGTCAAATCTTTTGCATTACCTGCACGAAGTTCGCTGGATTTAGTATCTCTAACGAACAATTCTTCTACACTCTGTGAATATTCCTGGACGATCACTGCAGTACAACGAATGTGAGTGGGATTGTTCCACTGCTGTGTTGGTTTAACGGTGAACCTGAGACCTAACTTAGAGCCCAACAGTTTATCTTTTGTCAACGGTTGGAGAGGCTTTTCATAATACTTTGGTGTCTGGAAGTACCAGTTAAGAACAACGTCAAGGAGTTTTATACAATTAACAATAAATATTTATATATGTTTGTGTATATATAACGTTGTACCATGTTTAACGTTTTATCTATTTTAATTCGAAGAAATACTGCTTAACAGTACTAGTATCTGTCGTTTGGTAAATAAAACAACTGATCAACTAAATAAAATTATATTAGTCAATATAAAAAGAACAGTTATTAACTGCCCTCCCACAGCAGTAAGTCTGACAGCTTATAATGATAAATATCGGATTTCTAAACATGCAGTAGGCAGAGCACATGTAGCCCAATGTGTAGTAGATTTGTGCTTAACAACAAAAGCTATTAACTTATTTTTATTTAATACTTTACTAGATAAAGCACGTTTAGTATCTAGATTGAAAATTTTCGAATTTCAAGTACAATTACATAAGGACGTTTACTTTGTTCAGTAAACACCAGATAGACAAAAACTCTTATGAATGTTTACTGATGAAATATTTTCACACAAATATATGTTCATTGTATCCAAAATTTGGGGTTTTAAACAAGTAATAAGGCTGATAGATCTTGTTCTATTGCCTCTAAAGGTTGATCCGCTATTTGAAAATGTTCAGCAGAAAAAGAGACATTTCACAAACTAATTGATAAACCTTATCAGTAGTTTTAGGTATCACCGAACTCCTCTATCCAGTCTTAGTACAAACGAAACCCGCGCATTATTTAAATTAAAAATTTATAAGAACATCCAGATTGTTCCAGTCGTTATGATTTGTTTGTTATTAAGCACAAAGCTACACAAAGGGCTATCTGTGCTCTGCCCACCACGGGTATCGCCACCCGGTTTCGAGCAGTATAAGTCAGCATTCCTTATCAGCCGACTTCATTATTGTAAAAATATTGACAATTAGTTAATGATTGGGCAGTTTATAAAAAAAAAGAACTTTACTCACGAAGGAGCTCATCACATTCATTAATAAGCAATAATAAGTTCATAACCTATTTTAATTTTTAGAAGTATTAGTAAAACTTGATATAGATAGAAGTATTTCATCCATAATCAACCACAAGATGTTTAGAAATATTCAAATTGTTTTTATTCTCATTATCCAAACACCCCTTTATTGGCTATATCAATACCCTAATTATGAAGATTAAAACCAACGTATAATACAGATATAATGGATATCCGGTAATGTTTATCTTCAGAAATGAACGTAAAGAAAAGGAGATTATCGGAACAAATCAAACGACCTTAAATAGTGCAAAGATTTGTATTACTTTCACACCACGCCTGAAGAATGCATTAGCTCATCCAAAATACCATAGCGCTACTGAAAAACGTGCGGGTAGTTTTTACTGTATTCCTTGTAGTAAAATGGTGCAGAGATTTGTACTACTTTCACACCACGCCTGAAGAATATATTAGCTCATTCCAAAATACCATAGCGCTACTGAAAAACGTGCGGGTAGTTTTTACTGTATTCCTTGTAGTAAAATGGTGCAGAGATTTGTACTACTTTCACACCACGCCTGAAGAATATATTAGCTCATCCAAAATACCATAGCGCTACTGAAAAACGTGCGGGTAGTTTTTACTGTATTCCTTGTAGTAAAATTTGGAGCCAAAGATTACGGAGAAGCAACATGTGCTGTTTTCTAGAAGATTAAATAAATGGTGTCAAATATGGACGACAGAATGCTTTTGGTTTAACCCAACATATTTTAGGAAAAGACCGTTCTCCTGATTAGAATAATTTTCAAATTATTACGAAGTATAACAACTTTGATCGTAAATTCTGTGAATTGTAATACATTTGTGAATATAACTTCTACGTGAACAGTAATGTTAGCACAGTATTATCTATTGAATTTCGTGTACTTATATCATAGACCAAGCGTTCGTTTCTCGTTAAAATGCAAGTAGCCATTGATAATGCGTTAGTGATGTCGAAACGTCTGGCTTCGGTATATAATATTTGTGTTTTATGATGCAGTTATATCAACTCGGCTTTTCAACCCTCCTTTTAATCTTGTGTGTCCAGTAATTTCCTATTTTAATATTAAAATTATTTTACAAAGCCATTTTGCACATATTAAGGTAGTTTTTCCTTGCAAAAACAGCATTTATTTAATTTCCTTTCCTTGCGGCTATATTAAAATCAATATCAAGTTAGGGTTAATAAGAATTTTTTCTAACATTCACCGCCAGATACCCAACAAAAAGAAACTTGGATCATGAAACCTTTTATTATCTAACGGAAACAAGAAAAAATATCAACATTTTGTTTCATTAAATTGCAAAGGGGATTTATGATACATTTAATCATAAAGAATAAACTATATGAAACGCTGTTAAATATAGCCAGAGGTATCATCTTTTAGTGTCAAGTTTTATCAGAATGGCTACCTTAGACAAAGTACAATATAATTTAATAAAGTGGTTTCTCATGTATAGCTATCGCCTCAACCAAGCTTTAATTATCTCCAGTGTTAGTTTAACGTTTCATACATCCAGATCCACCATATCATAAAAGGAGTTCCAAGTCACAAACATTATGCAAAACCAACAAGATGGATCAGTGATAAAATACACTCTAACATTTTTATAAGTGTTGAAATTTATAAAAATCCATGGGGAATGAAAAAACCAACTGCATAAATCTCCATTCCCAATAAAACCCAGTGTATTCTAATCATATTCAGTCACTAAAGTTTAAACCTTACTAGCTGACAAGAGGTCGTATTAAACTGGAAAAACATTGGAAATATTATTAGATAGTTAAATCTTTAACGTTTTTTCGAAACCTAAATTCTTGCTACATATTATCTATCAAATGCACATGAGACCCGGCTAATCGAAAAGTACCCATTAATTTCTTCCTCATCTGAGTCTTTTTTTTTAATGCGTAGTTTGTTGAAAATTTTTTTTAAAAAACACACCGTAGGTATAGTTATTTGAAGTTAAATTACAACATAGCTCGTGCTGAGTTGTAACTTGTGCGAGGTTTCTAAATATATATATATATTTAATTAAAGAGTAAGCAATCGATTGGAAAATTGAAATAGCACGTCACAAGGCAACGAAAAATGGTGATTATAACATGAGATACATTCATCAACTTTCTTGTGGCATTTAAAGAGTCATATTTTATTTTAAAAATCAACCTCTGGTGGGTTAAGGATACGTTTGAGGACGTCTGGAGGGTTAAGGGTAAGTTTGAGGATGTATTTACGAGTCACATTTTATTTAAAGAAATCAGCCTCTGGTGGGTTAAAAGTAAGTTTGAGGACGTATTTACGAGTCACATTTTATTTAACAAATCAACCTCTGGTGGGTTAAGGGTAAGTTTGAAGACGTATTTATGAGTCAAATTTTATTTAACAAATCAGCCTCTGGTGGGTTAAAAGTAAGTTTGAGGACGTATTTACGAGTCACATTTTATTTAACAAATCAACCTCTGGTGGGCTAAAAGTAAGTTTGAGGACGTATTTACGAGTGAACGAAGATCTATATGAGTCTTTTGGTTTATGAACTGGGGTTGATTGGGGGGGTCAGATGCAACGATTACCTCTTCCTCCCTTCTGGACAGTAGGTTGATTTTTATTTTAGCCTTTTGTATAATATACGGGAAAATGCTAATGTTATTACAGCACGAGGGTAGGTATTACACCCGTGTACTCCTTTGACCCCTTTCCGCGGGTCATATCCATGAACGTAACACCGATATAGCATCTAATGTGTTATTCTATGCCAAACGAACGAAGACCTGCATGGATCTTTTGGTCTATGACCCTGAGGAGGGGGGGGGGGTCAAGTGCAACGATAACTTCTCTTTTTAGGACTTATTCACAACGATAAAATCCAACGTTCGAATTCCCGCGGTGAACAGAATAGCTTTGCGCAGAAAAAAAATTTAATTAATCGCTCAAGTAAAAAGTTCAGTATTGGACTGTACTTCCACCGCTTTACACACTCCAACTGAGAATTTATTTTAATTGAAACTCGATTGTAATATGACAAAACTGCTTCGCCTATCTAAATGCATTTTTTTTACTGTCCCGAAATTCTTTTAATACCACGTTTACTTTATTTCTGTATCTTTATGCATTCATGAGTCAGTGTAATTTTCTAAACATTTTTATACTATGGTGTTTATTATCTAACCAAAATATAATGATTCTCGAAAAGGTATGTAGAGCATGTTTTTACTTCAACGCGCACTAATAGTGAAATACAACGAAGAAAAACAACATAATTTTATTAATGAACTGGATAGCATTACGCACTTATTGCGCAGAAGTAATTTCTACTTTGACTGTTAATATTTAAAGTGTAGATTTCATATTTCCACAATTATATTTTCGGATTTAAAAATGGTCGCACACAAATTTAATTAGTTAAAATATGTAAAAAAAATGTTCTAACACGTTTCACACTAAAAATAAAATAAAAATGTGCCAGAACATTACACCTTATTAACAATGAAAATTTAGCGAAAGCTTAGATCAAGAGAAGTTTTAAATTACCTTTCATTCAGGCTTTTTTTTTTTACAAAATGAGCGCGGCAAGAGTGTGGACAAATGATTATACTACGGACTTGGATTCGAAACTTAATACATCCGAAACATTCTTCGCACTTTCAACCACGGCACGTTATAAGAGTGACAATCAATTATGCTTATCGGTTAAACGGAACCATTTTAGGCGGCGAGTGCTACCTACTGGCTGCCTTTCTTCTGATTTGTAAATCAAAATGAACCTAAACCTTCCAGTGTTTCTTACTCAGCCGCTTAACCCATTTTGTACATAAGGTGTTCTACCATGAATAGTTGTAATGTATCATGTAAACCTAACCTATTTTGTCAACTATTTGTTTGTGAATTTATCGTTTAAGAATAATTGGATAACCCTTATTAATTGTTTGTTTTAAGCGTAAAGGTTCATAATGGGCTATTTACGCTGTGGCCACTGCAGAAATCGAGCCTCAAACTTTAGAG